TTATTATTTTCATTATATCAATTAGTTAAAAAAAAAAAAAAGGAAGGAAAATATTTAGTTTTTTCTAAAACTCAACTATAGTTGGCCACTAATATTTCTTGAAATGGTATATAGTTAAACATAAAATTCCCAATAATTCATAAAATTTCGAAATATACACACAACAATTCATAATTTACCCAATAACTTATAAAATACAAAATATATGAACAATAATAATTTATAAAATTCAAAATTCAAAAAATATAAAAGAGTAATTAAATAAATAAATAAATAAATAAATAAATAAATATATATATATATATATATATATATATATACGTACCTGCCGTATATACGTCAATCGACGACGACGTCTGGCGGCGTGGCAGCGCGGGCGAGCGGCAAGCGGCGAGGCTGCGAACGGCGAGGCGGCGGCGAGCGGCGAGCGGCGACGACGAACGTCGAGCGGCGAGCGGCAACCGTCGAGCGTCGGGAGATCTGATCTGTCTACGGTGGCCATGGTGGAGGGTTTTGGTGGCGGTGAGATGATGAGAAGATGAGGGTTGAAATGAGTCTTCGATCTGATCTGTGTTTTTTACGTATTAAATGAAATGATTATACGGCGTCGGCTATATACGTAGCCGACGCCGTATACTATATATATTTTATTTTTATTTTTTTAATTCGAGTATACAGCGTCGGCTTTATACTCGCCGACGCCGTATACTATATTTATTTATTTTTTATTTTTTATAGGATATACGGCGTCGGCTTTATAAATAGCCGACGCCGTATAATATATATATTTTATTTTTATATTTTTAATTCGAGTATACGGCGTCGACTTTATACTCGACGACGCCGTATACTATATTTATTTTTATTTTATTTTTTTATAGGATATACGGCGTCGGCTTTATAAATAGCCGACGCCGTATAATATATTTATGGCGTCGGCTGTACCCAAAAGCCGACGTCATATGTATTTTAAAAAAAATAAAAAAAATTAAATTTAAATATTTAACGTCGGTTTTTCGAAAAATCGACGTTATAATGGCGACGTTAAATCCTTTTCCTGTAGTAGTTTTAGGAAGTTGCAAATAATGTTGCAAAGGTAGTTTCAACATAAGAAAGTGAATAAAATGTGAATTTCTTACTTTACCCCTAAAATTTTAAATATTTTTTTTTAATTTTTCCGTCAGTTTTAACGGCCGGGCACCAAATGTGCCACTTTGCTCATAACTGAGGGACTAGAAATGGATACGGTCATAACCAGGGACTGAGTCGTCACTACCATTATAACTCAAGAATCAAACTCGCCATTTTTCATTTTTTAATTTGGGTCGGGGACCAAATGCGCCACTTCGTTCATAACTGAGGGACTAAAAATGGATACGGTCATAATTCAGAGACTAAGTCGGAACTTGGGTATAACTCAGGGACCAAAGATTATTATTTTTTGAATACTACTGGCTCTATTACAACGTAGTATCTGTTCATATACTTTCTCAACCTACTGAAACACAAAGAACCAATAACGCCTCCACTGAGGCTCGAACTCATAATCTTCCAAATGGAAGTCCAACCCGGGTACCTACTACTACGTGTTAACAGAAGTTTAATTAGGGTTATTATTATTTTAGATTGACTTGTGATGGATAAAAGTTGGATGAATGCTCCTCAAATTAGTAAGTAACGAAGATGGAGTTGGAATATTTTTAGACTTTGAAAAAAAATAACTTTTCGAATAATAATGAGAGGTTCTTTTGGCATTGTAAGGAAGTGTAGTAATAAAAAAAAAGTGAAGTGAAAATGACATATTTGTTGATCTAATCTGTAATGAGATTAATCGCAATTATATAAAATGGATATGGCACGGTGAAAGAGATATGACTGCAACATCTTAGATGTATGTTAACAACGAAGCAAATGAAGATGAAGAGTTTGAAGATCAGTTGAATGAAATGTTTCGTGATAGTGGAGAAGGGTTCATGATGGATAATTTTTATAATTAATGTCCTCGCAAGTGCACGAGTCATTGTAGCAATAGCGTGCAAAGGCAAGGGTCGATCCCACAGAGAATTGTACGATGCAATTTAATAGCTTAAAATTAAATTAACGAACTTGATAATTTAAAATGCTCAAAAACCAACTAACAATCAAAATGAATTGAACTAAATAGATACGCAGTAGGAAACAAGGTAAGAAAGACAATAAAACAACGGCAAAGGAAAAAAACAAAACTAATATAGCAGACAACTAACACGAGAATAAAATCTTAGGAACATAAATACAATGCAATAACCTTGAATTTAAACTAATTAAAAGGGCTTAAAATAAATATCAAAGATGGAGACCAATTCAAATGATAACATAATTAAACCAAAATTTAAAGAGCTAAGCAATTAAATTATCTACCATTCCTAGTTTTGCACTTAACTTGATTGGCAAAATTAAACACAAACTAATGCAAAAGCTTCATAATACTCTCATCATATTCCTAGAAATCTTAAAACTAGCAGCACATTTGATAAACACGTAGACAAAAAGCAATGTAAAAAAACTAGGCAAACTAATAACAGTAATGACAAAACAATGGAAAATTGACAACAAATGAAGAAAGGAGAACTCTTAAGCCAACACGCTGCCAACTATGAAATTTCGTCACCCAATATGCGTACTGCGATTGATAAAAAATTCTCACGCCCACACCTCTCAGCCGACCAGTTTCGTTGCCACGCCGAACACCAAAATCCAGCCGTGTCGACCGCAGTTGTTGCTCGGAGAAGAAACTATCCGGCCACCGCCTCCGGATTTGCTCCGGGGTGAGTTAATGATTTTCCCCTTCGATCCCTCTCTTTTTATATTGCTCAATCTAACCGCTTCTTCATACTAGTCGGAGAAATAACCGTAGAGATTAGGGAGAACCATAGAGCTGAGGTTGCTGGATCGCTCGTCAATGGCCGAAGAAGACGCTCTGCAAGTCTGCGATCTCCTTTTGCGGTTGGTCTGTGATTGGCTAATAATAATAATAATAATAATAATAATAATAATAATAATAATAATAATAATAATAATAACAACAACGACGATAACGATAACGATAACAATAACAATAATAATTATAATAATAATAATAATAATTTATTGGACTGACAATTTAAATAAGAAAACTAATTTAATAACAAAAACAACCCCAAAAATTAACAATATTAATAAAAACTAATTACAGTAATAATAAATAAAAATAGATATAAATTAATCAATTAGTGCAAATTAACTATAAAAAGATTATTTAAAATAATACTAAAAATATTGTTTATCAGTTCACCGATCGATCAAATGAGATGGATGAATTATTGAATGATTCAAAACATCCCTCGTGGCCGGGTATAGTAAATATACCCGATTATCTACTATATTAAATTTATTCAAGTTGGGAATGAGTGTAGCAACAATAGTTTTACTGCCTTACTTGAAATATTAAAGGATATGCTTCCAGATGGTAATGAGCTTCCGAAGAGTATGTATGATGCCAAGAAGATTTTGTTTCCCATGGGTATGGGATATAAAAATATACATGCTTGCCCTAACGATTGCATATTGTTTAGGAATGATTACAAAGAATTGCATGCATGTCCAATATGTGGGGCATCTTGTTGCAAAGCAAGAGAGAATGTTACTGGTAAGGTAAGTTTGAATGGTCTACCTGCTAAATTGAATGGTCTACCAGCTAAAGTTCTGTGGTATCTAACAATTCTTTCAATATTTAAGTGTATGTTTTCAAATTCGAGCGACACGAAGAACTTAACATGGCATGCGAATAAAAAAAATTTGATGGCAAGCTTCGACACGCGGCTGATTCTCCTCAATGGATAACATTTGATAATGCATTTCCCGAAGTATCAATGTTACTTTTGGTAAGACTCAAAAGCTTAAATCTCAAAGATGTAAGAGGTCAAAATCTAATGTTGAGATACTTCCAAATGAGAAAAGGTCGTGGAAAAAGAAATATATATTCTTTGATCTTCCTTATTGGAAGATGCTAGATGCATGTGAGACATAGTACTGATGTGATGCATGTGGAGAAAAAATGTGTATGATAATCTTGTTGGAACTCTTTTAGACATAAAAGGTAAGACTAAAGATGGACCAGTGTTAGATTAGACTTGATTGAAATGGGTATACGACCTACATTATCTCCACGACGTGGGGATAAGACAACGTATTTGCCTCCACATGCTCATACTTTATCAAGAAATGAGATAATAAATTATTGTGGGTGTTTACGTGTAGTGAAGGTACCGCAATGAAATTCATCAAAATATCAGAAGACTTGTTAATATACAAGATTTAAAATTGGTGGAGTTGAAGCCTCTTGATTAATTGTCATGCTTTAATGCAACAACTATTGTCAGTGGCTATTAGAGGCATATTGCCTAAAAAGTTGATATATACCATTATAAGACTTATTTCTTTTTCATTGCAATCTGTAGGAAAGTTATTGATCCAAACAAATTAGATGAATTGCAAAATAACATTATTGTTACATTGTGTTAGCTATAGATGCACTTTCTAACTTCATTTTTTAATATCATGGTTTATTTGCTGGTACATTTGGTGGGAGAGACGATAAGACATTTTGGTCTAGCTTATTTGAGGTGGATGTACCAATTCAGACAGTACATGAAAGTCTTAAAAGGTTATGTGTGGAACCGTTATAGGCTGGGAGCATCTCTTGTTGAAAGCTATATTGTTGAGGTGGTTACTGAATTCTGTATTGAATATTTGGTAGGGGTAGAGGTTATTGGTCTTCTTAAGTATCGACATGAAAGAAGATTTGCTAGGAAGGGAACTCAAGGAATCAAAGTGCATATTATGTCTCGTGAAGATGTTGAGCAAGCACACTTGTACATCTTGCATAATACAAGTGATCGAAGTCAAAACCTATTTAGATGAACACAAGGCCTTGATTTGAGAGCAATGCCACCCTAAATGCCACCATGCAATATGGGAATAAAAGTTGTTATTTAACCTCATATGTTATCAAGTATTCTCACTTAAAACTACTAAATTACTTATTTGTAGTGGGCATTGGATGTTGGTGGCGATTTTTCCTCAATTATATGAAATCTATTGGTTTGATTCCATTGGTCTCGAGCCATGTGAGGACTTAAAGAGATAATGGAAACGTATGTACATTATAAATAATTAATAGTTATTATTAATATAGTGATATCAAGTATTTGCGTATATTTTATGTCTTATATTAATAGGTGTGTGAAGGCAACAAGCATGCTGAGTGGAAAGAAACAAAGTTGTCCACCGAAATGGATTACATGTTCGGTAATTACTTCATACACTTTGTAAAACTACATATATCTTATTGTTTTTATTAAAAAAATTTCTTAATTGTATTGTAATTCAAATGTAGTGTGTCAAACAAAGAGGAATTACTGAATGCGGATATTATGTGATAAAATTCATGTTGGAAATTGTTTCTACGCAAACATACAAAGAAATGGATAAGACAAATAATTTATTAAAATATCTTTCTCCTTCAAATTTTTGAAAATACTAGCTTATTGATTATTTATCTCTTTTCAACTTTGTAGAGCTTGGAGAGATTTGGAAGATTTCCCTACAATCAACAAGAGATTGATGAAATTAGAGACATATGGTCCAAGTTTCTTATTGATGAATGGGTTAATACATATTCTTTAGTATTTTAAATAATTGATATTGATCATTTTAATTTCAAATTATAATTATTAATTAGTATCAATTGTGGAGTTTATTAGCTTGATTAATTGTGATATTTATTAGTTTGATTAATCGAGAGATTTGTTAGCTTGATCAATTGTGAGATTATGAATGTAAAATTGCACAGATTTTGGGAGGAAATTTATAAAATAAATTTAATATTTTGAAAAATTTTATACGACATCGATTTGTTTTGCTAAAAATCAACGTCATTGTTTTATTTACAAATTTTTAAGAAAGATACGACGTTGGTTTTTCTTAAGAACCGACGTCACGTCGTGTGTGTGTGTGTGTGTGTATATATATATATATATATATATATATATATTAAGTAATATACCACATCGTATAGTATGTTTTATTATTATTTTTTAAAAAAAATAACCGACGTACGTATGTCAGTTATAATTTATTTATTACATATGTCAGAATAACTTCATAGAAAAACCGACGTCATTTGTCAAAAACCAACATTAAAAGTATTATTTGTGTTTAGGTTGATGGAGGATAAATTAGGATCAACCTAAACACAAAACAATTCCTAATTTACGAACAAAAAATATATGTAGATAAATCAATAAAATTTGTAAGTATTTAAGTTATACGGACTTAATTCATAGTTATTTATTTTCAAAAAAAAAAAAAAATCATAGTTATTTCACCAAATCAACAATGTATATACAGTATGAGGAAAATATGAGTTCCAGAAGAAATTAAAAACTTTTTTCAAATAACAAAAATAGTCAAACTATCATCAATTACTCTTTCCAGCTCAGCTCTTCCACAAGGATTTGAAGCCTTATATTCTACGGAATCCACAAAGTCATCAAGACATCAACTCATTCATTGCTGAAACAAAAATCAGATAATTACACAATCATATAAAAATGTATAGTGTATATAAATAACTGGCTGTCTAGCTTCCATCCCTAGAGATCAGACTAGAGACCAGTTTATTCTTTATGTAATATATATAATGCTTAAATTTAACTGGCTGTCTAGCTTCCATCCCTAGAGATCAGACTAGATACCAGTTTATTCTTTATTTAATATATATAATGCTTAAATGTGCCTGCAGTATATTCAATGGGGCCTACCGGCTACCCCTCCCCACTTATTTTAGTATAATAATAATCATATATGTAATATGCTGTCTTTCCTATCTCGAAAGCTACCTTCGTCGTTTGTACATAAAAGAAAATCTGAATCTATTAATATTGTTGACATCAGTAATATTGTAATATGGATGCCCGTCGTTGTCAATAAATTGTTGTTGTTGTTTTTTTTTTTATTGGCAATTAAAAATGTTTTAGATATGAAGTAGTAACTAGATAGATAAATCATCCATTGCATATAGAAAAAACATTTTGCTAAAGAATATATATTCTGATGAGCATGATGATCGTTATTCTTAACTTTTACTGTTGGGTAATAAGGTGGAAAATTCTAAAATAATAATAATCCTATGAAAAGATTAATACTATATGGGAAAAATATAAAAAATGGGAAGGAAAAGGTTGAGTGTTTGGGTATAGGTTTAGCACGAGTTCGAACACATAGTTCTTTTTCTTAAAACCTTATTTGCTACCTCTCACAAGTGCTAGGAGCGTTGTAGCCTAGGTTTCTCAGGATAAAACGTGCTACGATTCTTTGTTTAAGCACCTAAACAAAGAACCCGGCAAACAAAGCAAAGCTGGAACACAGATTGGCTAAGAAGAGAGTAGAAGCAGAAGTTTTGAAGCTGAAAACTGTATT